ATAACTGGAAGAGCTACAAATGCATAAAGCTCGCGTTTTAAAAGTCAAAGGCAAGTGATTGTTTTTACTTAGAGGCATGAAAATTGTTTAATAATGAGTTTACGTTCAATTCATTCGCCAAAGTCCATTGTACAGAAAACGTGTCATGTCGATCATATATTAAAAATCAGTCACTGTGAAATGTCGTCCGACTAAAACATTTGGACAACTATTAGAAACTTAGGAAAGGTTGTTACTCACAAATATTTGGATAAATAATCTATCAATTGTTTGTTGAATCATTGAAAATTGCATATATGATGACGCGTTTGTTCGTTGAGTTGAGTGTGCGTTTGGTGTTTGGTCATTTTGGCCATTGATTTGTTCATTCCGGGGCGTTGGTGTTTGGGGTGTGCAACGTTCTAAAAAAATCAAAACTAATTTATATGATTTTTTTATATTAATATATTATTAATACTATTGTCAAATACAGTCACAGCGGATTTCTTGTCACAATGGATTAAATATTGGCCCTTTTTTTATTAATTATAATTATAATTAAAAATGTTTGTCATAACGGATTTTTGATGGGGGGTTTTCTAGAGGTTGGAATAGACTAAAATAGTTGACTAAACTTTTTTTCGAACAACTAATAGTCAACTACTAATACTAATTCTAATATTAATACTATTATTAATACCTTTATTGAAATTTCCGTAGGAATTCCTTAGAAGTTCCCTATGTATTACATGCATATCACATGCATATTATGCACATATTACGCACATTTAAGCGCATTTGACAGGAAGATTCCGTATCTGAAATTAAACATACTTTTCTGCATCTTTTCCACATCTTTTCCGTGTGCAATTTTTTATAGGGATTCAATGTATCTTTAAATGTATGTTCCCCAATCACATCTACATCTTCTATATCATCAATGATCATGTCTACATCCTCTATATCACCATCATTTTTTTTGTACTCATTCATGATATGGCTCATATAATGTACTTGACAAAACTAAGTAATATTTAACTCCCAGGTTAGATCTAAATTATTGTTCCTTAAAGCTTTTTCTTTAGCATCTTCTGTAAATTTTCGATATTTTATCTCAGAATCTCTTACTCCACAAATAACACATGGTCCATTGTTTTGTTTCCTACTTTTTGGAATTTCCATTTTTTTTAAAATAATTATTTTTATTTTGCACAAGAGAAATAGGTAATTATCAAAATCAGTTGATTTAAAAATTTAGAAATTGGAATTATCACAATTTTGGGTTTATAAGGACTATTATAATAGTTTTATTTGTTAAAACTAATTTATTTTTACATGTAATTCAGAGTTCTTTTATACATTTTGTTTAATTATAAGCAATTCCATCATTGATACCCTACTTCGAAATTGGTGTCA